AAATTTGAATCAGAAGTGGCTTGAAAAAAGAATACTTGTATCTTTGTATAAGATAGTAAAACTTGATTTAATTGGATCAATAATTGGATGTAATCTTTGTGGTTGAGACAAACCAATATAAAAATACCTTGTGTTCATATGCTTATATCTTTGTTTACACTTCTTACCATATAACAATACTACTTTGTTATTTCAAAAATTGAGTTTTCTATTGACATTATTCAACTCCTCTTTTAATATTATTTTTCTATCCAAAGTTATACAAGTAAATAAATTATTTTCTTACTTGTTTATGATATTCAAATTTTATCTTAAAATCTGTTGTTTTAGTTAGTAGCAATCTTGTCATATGATATTTTGCGTTTTCTCTATTTTTTTTTTCTTAAAACTTGTATTGATGTATGACAATCTTCAATATTTTCTCTTGTAGTCCTAGTCATTATTTTTTTATTGAATATTTAGAATATTCATTATCCATTTTATTTTATAGTCCTTTTCAACTTGCTCGGAAGCATTTGGATCTAATTCTTGCTCTGATATCATTCTATTATGAGAAATTTGAATACTCCTCTCTTTCTATTAATATAATTCTTCTATTTTCTTCATTTTTTTCTCAATTTCTAATTGATCTAATTCTTTTCAAAAATAATTTTCTAGTAATATATTCATTATTTTTTATTTCATTTCTCTATTTTTCTAGTAATATATTCATTATTTTTTATTTCATTTCTCTAGGAGACGGTAATAAACAGATTACTATGTTTTCTACATCTTTAAGTAAATAATCGTCAACAAAGTATGTTATCATATTTTATTCCAGTAATTATATTAGCAAGATTTTTTTACTTGTATAACTAGTTTATTTATTTCATATTCTTTATCTTTATCAATATTTTCTGATTCTGAGAATTTTGTTATATCAAGTATTTTAGTAGTTTCAATTATCTTAGTATATTCAACCTCCAAAGGTTTTTGGTTTATTTATTAAAATTCCTGATTTAATTATTTCATTCTTTCGTGGATAATAATTTTTTCCTACTTCTTCAAATAATTTAGGGAGATATATTTTTTCATAGTTCTTAAAACTAATACGCTGATGTGAATTTGTTGATGCATAACTAACTGAATAAGCTATCGAGAATATTTTATCTTCAGGTCTCATTAGATTCTTTATAAGAAAATTATGTTCTTATGTTAGTGATTGTTATAACCTTTTAGTACTTAATGAAATTCCAATATTTTGGATGTATTTTAAATTTTAATTTTTCATAAGGTAAATTTCCTTCTATTACTCCTAATATTTTATCTTTAAAATCTATTATTTTATCATCTTTTAATAATAGTTTTACAGGAGAGTTTATTTTATCATATATATTATTTCATCTTTTAATAATATATATGATATTTTTTCTATGACTTTCATTTTTTATTTCTTTCTTTATTTTTGAAATTCTTTTGTTGGAAAATAATTTTAAACAAGTATTTCCACTCGTTTTAGATATATCGATGGGTTGTTCACAAATAATTTTTCCATAGTAGATAATATTCTCTCTTTGATGAAATAAATTCATGATAGTTTTAAGTTAATTCCTTTTATTTCCTTCAATAATAGCATTTTTTTTAGATCTAACTCTTCTTTTTTGTATTTTCCTAAAATCATTTAGATCTTTCAAAATAGTTCATTCATAATTTACATCGTTTTCAACTATTTCTAGATGTTCTAAATCTTTAGAAGCTATTTTTTTTTTCCTTCTATTTTCATCACTATAATTTAAACATACATATATGAGCATAGTATATTTTGAGTTGATAATCAACATACCTGAGCTTTTGTTAAGTAATAAAATCCATTGCTACTTCCACAAAGTAATCTCAGTAATTGAAAAAGGACCTTTTATTTATGAGTAATTGTTACATAAGTTTGGATTCATTCTTAAGAATCCAACAAAGTCTTAGCACACTCTCAACTGAGGGTTTTTTTATTTGAAAAAACTATGCCCAACCTTAGCATAAAAAGACTTATTTATAGAAAAACTAACGAAAAACTATCTACAAAACTATCCTGAATAATTTAACCTCTTACATAATTGATTACATTAATAATTTAGTAGGTGGAATTAGGACTTACGTCATTTTTCACCTATATATTCTTCAATAGTTGCATCTTCAAAGGATAAAGATTCCTCCTTTTCCACTTTCTTATCTTCATTGTTAGCTGCCTTTTGACTTTTAGTACATCTTTTGCGCTCATGATTTTGATATGCCTTGAACATGGAGCATAATTTATTAAGGTTCTTTTGTTTGTAATTCATAGCTGATCCTTCTAATGCATAAAAAGACAATTCAAAATTGCTAAGTAATGTCATTTCCCTTCCTTTAATAGTTTTTTCAATTTTTTTGCTTATCAATAAAGTATTTGGTCATTTGTAGAGTAATTCGATGAAAGAATCTTTCTCTATGCTTTGGCATAAAGAAAAGGTACTTGCTAGTTGATTTACAATGATCATAATAATTTGATCTTCATTGTACTTTATTCTCTTAGGTTCATCCATTAATTGAAAGGTGTTATTGCTTAATACCTTTAAGACAAAATGCTCAACAAATTATTTAGCGGTGATATCAGGGTAGGCAAAATAAAACTTATATTTCTTTCTCTATGCTCTGGCCTAGAGAAAAGGTATTTGCTAGTTAATTTGCAATGATCATAGTAGTTTGATTTTCACTATACTTTATTCTCTTAGGTTCATCCATCAATGAAAATCTGTTATTACTTAATCCTTTTAAGACAAAATGCTCAACAAGTTGCTTAGTGGTGAAATCAGGGTAGACAAAATAAAACTTAAGAAAAATATTTCTTTCTTGGGATATGTTCTTCTTAAATAATTAAATAGCTTCCTTAAAGTAGTCAAAAAGAAGTAATTTCTTCAAAATTTTTGTTTAAATAGAGTCAACATTCAACAAATTTGAATTGGAACATATTATATACCAATATTTGAGGAGCAAGAGTAATCATTACCTTAACTCCAAATAATTTTCTGTCAACCTTTTAAAAACAGTTGATTGTTTCTTTATCACTCTAATTAGTAAATCTTTTCAGAATTTCTTTGAATTTTTCTTTAGAAATCTGAGTTTGAAGTTCATGTTCTTTTTTTGTTGGCGTGGAATAATTATCAAGGGATGTAATTCTTCTAAGTACCGTTATTATTTTATTTACTTCCATTGGCAATGCTTTTGCTGTATCAAAAAAAGTTCTTGGGCCTACATAAGTATTTTTTCTCCTTTCTTGATCTTCAAATTCTTTTAGTGCTTTTTCCGCTTCTTCTTTGGTGGCATAGGATTTATGTGTAACTCTAGAAATCTTTTGACAACGAGGTGCTACTTTGAACTAGTCATCATAGACTCCTGGAAATGGTCCATTGAAAATTGTATACAATTTTTTCCATTCCTTGTCTTTTTTCAGAGGTTTCTACTTTGAACATTAGTTTTAGAACTTTAATACATGCTTTAATCTATTCTAGTTGTTTGGATTTTAAGTGCTTCCTTGAGTTTTATATACTTTTGCAAAGATTCTGTTGTGCTTCATTCCATTCTCTTGAAAGTATATATCTACAAGAACATTATTTTCTCCCTATATGGGATATTGAGTAATTGTATTTGACAAGTTTCATTTGCCATCTAATTAAATTTGCTTATTTGTAAGTGCTTTTATGATTAATATTTTTTAAACCAACAATATAGGTGTTGTCCGTTAAATTCTTTATTAAGAACATATATTATATGATACCCTTTACCTCACATATATAATAATACTTGAAATAAGTCTAAATTAAAAAGTCTATCATAAATGAAAGTCCATCGTGTTTAACATAGAGAGTGTCATATTTTAAGTTAAGTAAAACCAAACTAAATCCAATTAATAGTGGGATGAAGGAAATAACAATTGTCCTAAAACATAATAAGAGAAAAGTAAATCCTAATTAAGCCCTGATGTCACATTCTATCATAATATAAACTCAACCACAAGGATTAGGTCTCATTGTCAACATCATTAATCTCATAATGTAAATCACCTGTAACAATATACAATAGAAACAAACACAAGAAAAATAGGAGTGAGAAACTTCTGGATCTAACTCATGACATAAAATATAGTCAGATAACCAAACACAAGTAATAATACAAAAAAAAACAACATGATAATAACAAAACACCGATATAATTATCATGAATACAACAAGATGCAATTCATTGGTTTAGATATAATTATTTCTTCTAATTGTTTTAAAACTTCGTAGATTTTATTTATTTTATCATTCCATTTGTATCATTCTCTTTGACTAATATTTTCTAATGTTTGCTTTATATTACTAATTTCTTTTAATTCTTTATTAATATTATTACAAGTAAAATCTGCAATTTTATTTACTATATCTAAAATTAATATTATATTTTTTTAATCAATTTTTCTATCATTATTTCTAATTTTTATTCATATTTTCAAAATTTTCTGTTATTACCATAATATTTTCCTTATTATAAAATCTTTTTCTCTCAATTCAGAGGGTTTTTCAGAGAATAGGATTCGGAGGATTTAGAATTTTCTTTTTTTTAACCATATGATATGATAAATTGTGAACAATGACAGCTCCATTTTACAAGCTAAGCTGCCAAAAAAAACTCTCGACAAGAAGTGACTTGGAAAATGAAAGCAATAATGACAACATTGTTTTTTTCTTTCTTTTCTGGTAAGCATCATTAACTACAAACGGAACGCGCAAAGAAAAATAGAAAAGTGGAAAAAAGAAAAAAGAAAAAAGACTGGCACCTTAGGACGCGGTTTACTTTGACTTGGCTTCACCATCTTACACTCTTTTTCTGTAGCCTAAGCTGTCTCTCTCACTCAACTTTTCCAGTTTTCCTCTGCATATATTTCTAAAACTGCATAATTAGAAAAAGGAAAATCAAATTTGCATAAGAAAAATAAAGGGATAAAATTTGCAAAACTAATAAAATAGGAGGACAACGTTGAAATTAACCTTAGTATTGTAGAATCACTTTTGATGACATTTACCTGCCAGTTGGAAAATTGCATTGGAACATAAACACTAGAAAACAAAGAGTCTATAACTATACGCCATCATTAGTCTGTTTCCTTTTTCTGCCTTTGTTTTGGTTCTTTGTGTGTCTCTCTTTCAGTAGACTTTAATGGGAACTCCCCATGTTCCATTTCTTTCCATCATATTCTGCTACTGCTTCTGGATACACAACAGTGTTCACATCACTGGGGTCTCTGGCCAAATTGTTGAGGATCAAAAACAATTGTTGCTCCAACTGAAGAACAGCCTCAAATTCAAGCATGAAAAATCTCGCAAACTTGTGTCCTGGAATTCAAGCACAGATGGCTGTGAGTGGAAGGGTGTAAACTGTGATGAGGGACAAGTTGTTGGCCTTGACCTGAGTGGAGAATCAATCAATGGAGGATTTGACAATTCAAGTAGTCTTTTCAGTCTGCAAAATCTCCAGATACTTAATTTGTCTGGTAATAACTTCAGTTCTGAGATACCATCTGGATTCAACAAGTTGAAGAACTTAAAATATCTGAATTTATCACATGCTGGCTTTGTGGGGCAGATTCCTATAGAGATTTCTTACCTGACAAGGTTGGTAACTCTAGACATCTCTTCTTTTTCCTATTTGTATGGGCAACCACTGAAACTTGAAAACTTAGATCTACAAATGCTTGTTCAAAACCTCACCATGATTAAGCAATTGTATATGGATGGTGTAATTGTAACACAGGGAAATGCATGGTGCAATGCATTGTTGAAACTAGTTAGCCTGCAGGAGCTGAGCATGTCAAACTGCAATCTTACTGGACCCCTTGATTCTTCCCTAACAAGACTCGTGAATTTATCAATCATTCGTCTTGATCAGAACAATTTATCATCCCCGGTGCCAGAAACCTTTGCAAATTTTCCAAATTTAACAACCCTTCACCTAAGTTCTTGTGGATTGACTGGAAATTTTCCAAAGAAGATTTTTCAGATGACAACATTGTCTGATATAGACTTATCATTCAATTATGTTCTTTATGGATCTTTGCCTGAATTCCGACTGAATGGTCCTCTTCGGACATTGATTGCAAGTCACACAAGGTTCTCGGGAGCATTACCAGTTTCTATAAGTAATCTTGGGCAGTTATCCACATTAGATCTTTCTAATTCCCATTTTAACGGAACACTACCTAGTTCAATGTCAAGACTCAGGGAACTCACTTATCTGCTCTTGTCATTTAATAACTTCACTGGTCCAATTCCGTCCTTGAATATGTCCAGGAATCTCATCCATTTAGACCTTTCACATAACGATTTCACAGGTTCAATCACTTCTGTTCACTTGGAAGGCCTAAGAGAACTGGTCCTGGTTGATTTACAGGACAATTTACTGAATGGAAGTCTTCCTTCCTCTCTATTTTCTTTGCCATTGCTACGAAGTATACAACTTTCCAACAACAATTTTCAGGGCCAGCTGAATAAAGTTTCAAATATCTCTTCCTCCATGTTAGAGATCCTTGATTTAGGTGGTAACAATTTAGAAGGGCCCATTCCTACATATATTTATAACCTCAGATCACTGAATGTCCTCGAACTATCTTCAAACAAGTTAAATGGCACATTGAAGTTAGATGTTATTCGGGGACTCGTAAATCTAACTACACTGGCTCTCTCACACAACGATTTGTCAATAGACACAAATGTTATGGATGCAGGCCTTATATCTTCCAAGATGTTAGCTGTAGAGTTGGCTTCATGCAATCTGATAGAGTTTCCTAGTTTCCTGAGAAACCAATCCCAAATAACCACTTTAGATCTCTCGAGCAACTATATTCAAGGATCTATACCAAAATGGATTTTGCAACTTGACTATCTTGTTCAACTAAATCTTTCTCACAATTTTCTCATCAATTTAGAAGGACCTATGCAGAACACTAGTTCCAAGTTGAGTCTCCTTGACCTCCACTCTAACCAACTCCAAGGGGAGCTTCCAATGTTTCCAGTGCATGCTACTTATTTGGACTATTCAAGCAATAACTTCAGTTTCACTATTCCAGAAGAGGTTGGTACTCATCTGTCTCCCGCAATTTTCCTGTCTCTTTCCAAAAACAGTTTATCTGGTAGTATTCCTCAATTCTTGTGCAATCATTCAAGTCTGCTAGTACTGGATGTTTCCTATAATCTCTTCAATGGGACAATTCCAGAGTGCTTAACACAGAGTGAGACACTCGTGGTATTAAATTTGCAACATAACAAGTTCCATGGCAGTATTCCAGATAAATTTCCAGTATCTTGTGCTCTGAAGACTCTGGATTTCAATAATAATCTATTGAAAGGTACAATTCCCAAATCCCTTGCAAATTGCACATCATTAGAGGTGTTGGATCTTGGAAACAATCAGGTAGATGATGGATTTCCAGACTTCCTAAATACAATATCCACACTTTGCTTGGTTTATTGTGGTGATATGGGTTTTCTTGTAGGCCGGGGTGGCCGTCACTAAGGTAAGAGTACGGGCAGCTGAGCAAGTTGCTTGAGTTGCCGAGGTGGTGAGTATTATTTCTTCGGCTTTTCGTTGCCTTTTATTATGCTTTCTTGCCTTTTGATCTGGGGTCGTTTTTCGCAGGCAGGAAATGCTGCCGGGATGGCGTCCTCCGGCGCTGGGCCAGTCGCTCCCGCTGTCGAAGAAGTGGTCCCAGCCACTGAGCGGGCCTCCCATGCTGCTGGGGTAAACAGTGTGAACTTGTTTTTGTGATTCCCCGTATGCCACCTTGTTTATTTTCTGACATGGGGTTGGTTTTCGCAGGCGAGGTCGGAGGTTCCCATTGTGGACTCCCTGGATGCTGAGCAGGGGACGTCGGTTTCTGCCTCCATTGAGGCTCGCGGAGGGGCCCTGAGTTGGGAGGCTCCCCCGTCCACTGCTGTAGCCTCGGCGCCGCCTTCGAGCTCGCCATAGGGGGCTTCCCGGAGCGGATATTTGGGTTCGTCATCATTCTGCCTGAGGTTGGCCAAAGCAGTGGAGGTTGTGTGGTGAGGTCGGCTGGTGGCGTATTGTGCCGTGAACCTCCGGATTAGGGTGCTGAAGTTGTTGATGGATTCGGCGGGTAGCTGGGTGTACCAGTGGAGTGCGGCTCCCTTGAGCGAGGTCAGAAAAACCCTACACAGGATAACATCACTGTTAGTGTAGAGGTTTACCTGGGTTGTGTACAGGTCAATGTGCTCATTAGGGTCCGCTTCCTCTAGGATGTGTACCCTAGGCACGTTCAGGGGAGTGTAGAAGTCGTATCTCCCCCCTCTGTTTGCCCTAGTCGACTTCTTGAATTGACTGTCGTTGTTGAATTTGATTTTATCCTTATGCCCTTGTTCCGACTTTGCTGGAGCTTTCCCGCGAACCTGGTCACGGAAGGCGGGGGGCTCCTCCCTCTGGATGTACCCGACA